CAGAATCCATGACCCATTTAATAAGAGTCCACAACCACGGTAGGAATGATTCAGAGACCAAATGGCCTGAGCAATCAGTGTTCCTTTCTGCCATGTCATATGCTTTTGAATTTGAGAAATGACCATGTATCATATGACAAACCAGCAATGCCAGTAATCTTCAGCAGGATTATCCCGTCCCTGTAAGTTGTGGACTGCTGTAAATAATGTGTTATTAATAACAGTTTGTGCGCCAAAGCCGACAGTCACTTAAAATAAGATTTTTTTAAGAATGTCATGCTCCTTTGCCTTCTGATATGCTTTATAAACTATGAAGGGTGGACTTATAGTTATCACTCATTTATCAGAGATAAATGAGAGCCCAGGACAGAAAAGTCACCATGTCCGTTGGTGAAAGGAAGAGAACCTAACTCACCTCATCTACACCGAGACGCTTCATCTCCATGTATCCAGGAGAGTGTCTTGAACGATACGCATCATGCTTCATACACATCATACAGATAAGTGGTTGAGAGGAAGGTCTAGTAGATTAGCTGCATTTGGGCACTTGACCCATGATATCTTGAGCAACTACAGCTTGCACACTACACAGATATCTAGGGGGACTTCAGCATGTGAGGTCACCAGACCCATGTCAGCAACTTACAGTGGCCACCTGCTGGAGACATGATTGCTCCCTACTCCTTTCCCTATCAGTCCTCAATATCCCCATGGGAGAGCACATGAGAAGGAATGTTCCCATGTGGAGGATGGTCAATTTTCCGGGGTTGAAAGGTAAAGGCATTTTATTGTAAAGGGGAACAATCCTGGATCATGGAGAGAGCACTGAAGTAAGTATACCCTGCTGTAAGTGTGAAGGGAAGCCAGCTCGCCATGCATTCACTCTGGTGGACCATTCTTTATCCACAGGTGGGTGACCTGGTGAGGGGAGGAGGGAAGCACTGATGGCCCTGGCCCTGGCAGCTCCATTTGTTCTGGAAGCTTCCCCAGGGAAGAGCTGCCTTCCTAAACTTTGCTCCCACCAGGCCAGTCTCTTAAAGGGCTGGGCAGTCTTTCCACCACCGAGTAAGCACTGGGCAGCCTGTGATCTCAGCACAGGGCTCAGACCACCCTTGACCTCAGCAAGTATGTTAAAGGGCAAGGAGCAGGGAACACCCATGTCTCCAAGAGGTGGACACAGGAAGCTGTGACACAGGTCTGGAGACCCACTTCACCACACAAGGCATTTAGACCTCTAAAAACTAGTATCAAACCACTTCTCCAGGAACCATCATGGCCCTTTTAATCCTAGTTTTAAACATGTACACTAGGTCTATAGTACATGCCTTTAATCCCCAATATTTTTGATGAGTCTAGTCCTCATTTCAGGATTTCCTTAGACCCGACTGCTAACAGGCCTGTACCACACTGCCATGTGCTTCCCTCAGGTTTGGAGATGGCTACATCGTCACAATGAAAATCAAATCCCCGAAGGACGACCTGCTTCCCGACCTGGGCCCCGTGGAGCAGTTCTTCCAGGGGAACTTCCCAGGCAGTGTGCCGAGGGAGAGGCACTACAACGTGCTGCGGTTCCAGGTCTCCTCCTCCTCCCTGGCCAGGATCTTCCGGCTGCTCGCCTCCCACCGGGACAGCCTGCTCATCGAGGAGTACTCAGTCACGCAGACCACGCTGGACCAGGCAAGGCCGAGGGGGCGCCACGTGCAGAGCGGGCCGGGCGAAGGCCGGGCTGGAATCCACACGAGAGCGAGGCAGGACATGCCCACGTGCCAACACTCTAGTCCCTCTGTCCATTAGGGCAAAACTTGGAATATCAGAAATCGTCTTCTAACAATATTTCAGCCATCAGCAGACTTCACGGACCTTTTCACAGCATCCTTCCCAACGACTCTAGGACATTATTTCTCCTTCCTGGTTTGTGGTGGTGGCCATTTTTCTTCTTTTCAAATCAACTTTACTAATGCTTAATTTAAATACAATAGAAAGCACCCACTTAAAGTGTACAGTTCAGTGAGTTTTGATAAATGTGTGCCATGTGTCAGGTTTTTTAACGTGATCGCTTTTTATTGTGGTAAAAAATACATATAAATATATATATATCATAATTAACCTTTTTTTTTTTTTTTTTTTTTTTTTTTGCGGTACGCGGGCCTCTCACTGCTGTGGCCCCTCCCGTTGCGGAGCACAGGCTCCGGACGCGCAGGCTCAGCGGCCATGGCTCACGGGCCCAGCCGCTCCATGGCATGTGGGATCTTCCCGGACCGGGGCACGAACCCGTGTCCCCTGCATCGGCAGGCGGACTCTCAACCACTGCGCCACCAGCGAAGCCCATAATTAACCACTTTAAGTGGCATTACACTTCAGTGGCATTAAGTACTGATAGATTCACATTGTTGTGCAACCATCACCACCATCCATCTCCAGAAACTTTTCATCTTCCCAGACTGAAACTCTGTATTCATCAAGCAATAACTCCCCGTAACCACTCCCCCAGCCACTGGTGACCACTGTTCTACTTTCTGTTGACTACTCCACGTACATCATATAAGTGGAATCATACGATATTTGTCCTTTTGTGCCTAGCTTATTTCAGTTGACATAATGTCCTCAGGGTAAATCCACGTGGCAGCATGTGTTAGAATAGCCTTTCTTTTTAAAGTTGAATACTATTCAGTTGCGTGTATATGCCATGTTTTGTTTATCCATTCATCCATATGGACATTTGTTTCTGGGTTTCATTGGGGTTTTTTTGGTTTTTAAATTAACACCCTTAAAGACTATTCAGTAAAGCAGTGGAAATAGGCAAGTCTCTGTTTACCCTTTGAGGAGCTTCTTATCAGCATAAGCAGGTGGAGGCAGGGACAGGCACACTGAAGAGAGAAGAGGAAAGTGGGGAGATCCGCTCCTGTTCTCCTGGCTTGGGGTATTTTAGTTACTCCTTTAGAGTTTCAGGAGGACACCAGTAGCTGAGAATCTGCCTTGCCTTGTTGACCTTTTAATCCTCCTGTGGGCACTCCTTTGGCTTAGCTCACAATTCCAAGAAAAAGCCCTGTGCCCTGGGCAGGGCACAAGCTGCTCCAGCAGGGCTGTAGTTAACTGGGGAAAACAGAAAGCAAAGTGGGTGGCTGGGTGGAGGGTGCCATTTTCTGGAAACATCTACCCACTCTTGCTCTTCCCCTGCCTCCAGGTGTTTGTGAACTTTGCTAAGCAGCAGACTGAAACTCATGACCTCCCTTTGCACCCTCGAGCTGCTGGAGCCAGTCGACAGGCCAAGGTACCCCTGCTACCCCTTCCCCATCCCCTGCTTGAGGCAGATTCTTGGCTCAGGGACCCAACTGGTCCACTGGGCCTGCGGGGCCTCAAGGCCCAGATATGCCTCCTGCAGAGAGCCCCGCCCGTACCAGACCCCCACCGCCGCCCTGCCTTTCCTCACCTGTCCTGTGCTGCAGGACTTTGAATCGGTAGTTGTGTAGCTTCCTTTTATAATCAGGAAACCTTTGGGTGGTATGGGAGAGCATTTCTGAAAAGAACCGTCCCGCATAGTTTTGCTTACAGCAAAAAAGCACTTGGATTTTGGAAATAAGCAGGGAAGATAGGAGAGAATATTAAAACATTTCAGTTGTTGGGATACTTGATATATATGTCTGATCGTATGTTTGAGTCTCAAAGGAAGGAAATTAACTGGCACTCATTTCAGTGGTGGACTCGTTTGGTTAGAGCAAGACTTATTGTCTGTTTTGTGAAGAGGGCTCTTTGTTCTTTATCGAAATATCAAGACGATGAAGGAAGAAACAACAGAAGGTATGCATCGTGGCCTGTGATAACTCTCAGGGTAGGTGCCTACAGGTTCCTGCCCTGACACAGCGCCCCATGTAAGGAGCACATTAATCCTAGTTCCCCAGAAGGAGAACAAGAGAGATCTGGAGAAAGTTCTGGAGGAGGTGCCAGGATCCAGGTGCCTTGGCCTAAGCCTGGGATGTTAAAGGTCCAATTAACTCAGCCATCCTCTCCTGACTTACCTGGAGAGTAAATCAAATAAAAGCAAAGCATTTTTCCAATAAACAAAGAATGCAAAGCCTTATTTCCCATGAAGTTCTCATTCCTCCCACCAGTTTCTTGATTGCAAGAAAAACCAAGTATAGGTAATGACTGAAACACTCCTTTCCAAGGCACGGCTTGGGATGAATTTTTCCCCTTTCTCTTGACCAGTGGAGACCTAATGGCTACTTAGCAAAGCTGACTTTGCCCAGAAATGCCTAAGTAAAGGCACCAGGGAAAGTGAGTTTTGCTGAGATTTTCCAGCCACTCTTTCTAGTTTATAGATCTCGTAGTTGCTGTCTACACCAGTAGAAAATTATTCTTTGAAAGCCGCTTGCAGTTACAAATCCTTTTTATACCTCAGAATACGTAATTGGGTAGCAAAAGTGTTTCCTAGAGCTACAAATGGTCTCCGCACCCCAACCTGGCATATGCCCTCTTAAAGGGCTAATACTAGGTCATCTCTGGGCCCGACAAGGGGCATTCACAGGCTATGATCTGCAGCACTTAATTCCAAACTTTCCCCCCTTATTAGATTTGACCATTTTTCTGCTTTTTCTGTCACATTTTAGCATACAAATATTAGAAACCTACTGCAACACATTTATTAAATTGGTATCTTTCTATAATAAATTTGTGATTCAAAACCTAACTCTGACTCTGTGACATACCACCCTTATAAAGGTTTGCAGAAATCCTCCTGCATAGCGTTGGACATAAATGTCATGAAACAAACAGTAATAATGTTTTTGTTTATATTATCCCACTTTAAAACAATTTTCCTCTGTAGGAAGTGGACAAAGGGAATTCTGCACCTCAAGGATGACCTAAATGGTGACTTCTGGGCTTTTGAGACAGTAAGAACATGATAACTTTCTTGGGCTAAAAAACACACCAAAAGGTACCATAGGAAATCGTACAGAGGGCGTAGCTGATGTGCATGTCAGCATGTAGCGCGTGGGGCGGGGGTGGGGTAGGGGTGTGGGCGTGAGTCTTTAAAACGTCTGGATTGTAGAATCAGAAGGACCTGCAGGATCATCGGCTCCAACCTTTACAGACAAGGAAACAAGCATAAACTGTAAGCTTGGGTGATCTGATAGACTTCAGTGCCCTCAGCTGAGCTTCCTTCAGAGATTGACTGACAGCTATTTGACTTGAAATCTAAAAGCCATCTCACCACCTCTCCAGAAAACTGAGATGAGAAGTCCATCTGATCTCCTTCTACACTGCTTGTGTTTCCGCTGCAGCTGGAAAGGAACTCTGGGCAGCTGGAAGTGCAGGAGCCTTTGCCATATGGTCGTTCAATCAGGCCAGCCAGCATAAGTAATCCCTCGGCAGCAGAAACAAACATATGTGAGGCACACAGCGAATTCCAAATGGGGGCTCTTTTAGAAGGAAACCAGAACTGACTTGCTCACCTGGAACACCTGATGGTGAAACTGACCCAGCCAAATGAGTGCAAAACCCTTTTCATCGGAACCACAGAAGTGGAAAACTTGGTCCATCTTCCTACTGGCTGTGGCCTCCGCACTGCTCTCATTTCAAGTGGATCTGCTTTTTTCTGTGTGTGTTTTATTTTAAGGAGAAAATAAAATGCAAACATACTTATCACAAACTATCCAAATTCACTGATCTCCCTGTGTGCACCATCTGGTATAGATTTAGACATTCTTTGTGCCTCTGTGGCTTCCCATCATTGCGTGAGCTTCTGTGAGAATTATTACCACAGGAGTGCCAGTCACAGCAAGATTCTGCAATGCTGTGGTGGAAATGAATGGACTAGTCTTGATGTTCCATGTCAAGTCAGCTTCATATGGTTTGAAGACAATACCCAACTGGCAATGCATGTAAACATTATCCACTGTCAGCTGGGTATTATTTGCATCTAGGTTTTCCGTCTGTTTGCCCAGCTTATTTAAATGCCTATCTTATAGGTATAATTAAGACAGGATACAAAGAGGCAAGAACAGGTGAGAGTGGCTCTTTGGTTGGTGATGAGACCCAACATGTCTTTGTAACTGTTTGAAGATGCTGAGGCAGTTTCCACAGTGCCGACGTGTGCATTTCTGCAATGATGTTAGGAGGCAGTGCTTTACAGGACATCTACTTGTTCACATAGAAACACACCAAATATCAGAAAAAAATACTTTCAAACCAAATTATTTCAAAAGACTTATGGACAAGAATGGCAAATGGGCTTCCTTGCCAAGCAGCCTCCCCTCTGTGACCCGCAGATGGGCTTCCTAGTTCACACAGTTTCTAGAGCAGTGCTGCTCAATGCATGTTACACTGTGGGTGCACTCCAGAGTCCAGGATACAGGCAGGTGTCAATGAAAATAATCAATAAACAAGATTGTAAACAATAATAAGAATAGGAAAGAGTTTTATTTGAGCCAAACTGAGGACTATAGCCTGGAAGCCAGCTTCCCAGATTACTCTGAGAAACTGCTCTGGAGAAGCAGTGTTTCTCAGCACAGTTTTATATCTTGTCAGAACAAAGAACAGTAAACAAGTCAGGGATACATTTCTTCCAAAAAAAAAAAAAAAAAAGGACAGACCAGCACATACACGTACAGCATATACAGTATTGCCTTGGAACCTGGGAAGAGATTCTTATCATCAAAAGAGTACCAACATTGGTGTCCTAGGAGGAGAGGCATTTCATTTTCAACGTGGACATTCTTTACTTCTGGTCAATGTGCCCTTTTCTTTAATAATTAAATGTATGTTTGATAGGCCACAAACAGGCTGTTTTATTTAGCATAAAATTTAACTCAGGTATAAGCCAGAATGAGTTCCCCATACTTCGATATGCGAAAACTCCTTTCATCAGCGGTAAGAAAGGAGGGAGGGAAGAGGAAGAGAAAAATGCTGAGACCCAATAACTATTATTGAGAAAGGGACATGGGAGAAATTGAACCTGAAGTGGTGACATTTTTCCCTGGGCGAGGAGAGTCCTGTGCTTCTCCAGAGGTAGAGAGAGGGTAGGAGGCAACACAACCTTACATCCTGCACAGCTGCTGGCTTGCAGCTTTGCAAATAGTAGATTCTTGGCAAATAACTGCTGATAGCGTTTACAAAACCACTTTGGTTGCCTCAGAGCTTAATCTGGTTTTGACTTTTTTTTTTTAATCTACCAGTGACCAAAACCAAAAAAATCACTTAAACTAGGGTTAGACTAGAGTTTGGGAGAGCCCAGGAGTGTACTATTGATTACCCTGATCACCCAGGTGCTTATCACCCTGTTGCGTCCAGTTGGTTCTGTAAATTTATGTTAGCAACTACAATATCACAAGAAAGAAGACTAAGAAGGGAGGGGGATCAGCAGTCATTCGTGGTGGGGGGTAAGGGTTTGAAGCAAGCATCATGGACTCTGGGAAGAGTCAGGTATAGGTAAAATCTTGCCCTGCCTTGGGGAGGAAAGCTCAGTTTAACTGTCTGTCTCTACTACACCCGAGCTCTCCAATGGCAAGGTCTGTCTTTTTCATCATTTTCCCCAGCTCCTGACTCACAGAAAACACTCAAAAAATACTTGCTGAACTGAACACTTTAAAAACTCAGAAAAAAGAAGAAAACAGAAAAGAAGTAGGTCCCAAAAATGATGCTTCCAGACAGCCGAAGGCAGTAGCGAAGGGCAGGCAAAACAACAGGGATGCTATGCGTTAAAAAATTTTAGTCACGGGGAATTCCCTGGCGGTCCAGTGGTTAGGACCCCGTGCTTCCACTGCTGGGGACCCAGTTCTGGGAACTAAGATCCCACAAGGTGCAAGGCGTGGGCAAAAAAAAACCCCACATTTAAAATTAAAATTAAAAACACTAGTAACGAAAGATAAGCAGGGAAAACTCGAGAAGGAGGAGGCATGCACACACTTTGGGTTTGAGTAATATTCAAGTTGGAAACTTGGCCCAAATCTCCTGAGAACATGTTAATCTATTGAAAAATCTCCCAATCTGGTTTAATAAGAGAGATTTACAAAGAAGAGGGGGAGAAAATGGAGAGAGTTCAGAAAATACTCAGCAGATATTCCAGGAATATGACTTGCTGCCAGATTTTCTAAGCTTCCATACTTCCTTGTGGAACTCGAGATTTTAAAACAGCTGGGATCAAAAGAGAATCTCTTTTACTATGAGTGAACAGCTCATAGCTTCATTTGGTCCCACTACTATGGCTCTCCTAAAGAAAGAAGAAGAGGGAAGTGGGGCAGAAAACAGGTCAGCAAAGCTCTGGGCTTGGAAGAAAGGGTCTCTTGTGGCAGCCTAGGTATTTGCACGGGGACCAGTGAGAAGTTCTGCACCAGAGGCCTGAGGGGCTTATGGAAAATGGAAGAAGGTTTTCCCCTAGAAAAAAACTGGCTGCATTACCTTTCTGAAACAGGCAGAAGCACTCAGCCCCCTGGACCCAGGCTATTTGGGGCTTGGTTTCCTCAGTGTGGTAATTCAGTGCCTCAGCAGGTCCTCTGGGATGAACGGTTCATGACTCCTGGTGTCCACAGGGCATAATTGCTGCCACATTTTGTCCAAGGTGTTTGTCAAGTTGAAGAAAGCACAGGCAGTAGATGTTTTCAGATTCATAGACCTACAGGCTTGCAGAGCTAGAAAATAGCTTCCTGTTCAAAAACTAAGCCCTTATATAATTGTTTGGTTTACACTGTTTTAATGGAAAAGGAAACCAAGTCCCAGAAGGATTAAAATACATGGCTGGCCATCCAGCCTTCCCTTCAGGCCCCACTCTGGTCCTCCTCCAGTTACTTCACTCCCATGTCTGAGGAGATATGCCCACCAGACCCAGAAGTCCCTGCCCAGTCTGCTTCTAGGGCCTGGCGGGCCTCTTTCCTGGGTCACAGGTGGTCCTTGATCACACAGGGTCAAGTCTACACATGACACACGAGGCCCTTTGGGAAAGCAGGAAAACAATGAAAAGCAGGGTGAGTCATGGGGCAGCTGGCTCTGCACCACCACTGTCCAATGTGGGACTCCAGAGTTGAGCCTAGGTCATCATGGAGGTCATTATTTAGCAGTTTCTTAGCTTAATTTATTACTTTAAGAATTGAGACATATATGGGTGAGAACTCCCAAAAGGTACTCTCAGAGCCTTTCCCAAAGCTCACCGTGACACACACTTGGCTTTCTGAGCAGCTGCCTGATATCAAGGCTCAGACATTTACGTCTCGTGAGTCAAGCTTTGGCCAAACCAGTCATCCTCTTGGTTTTGTACATTAGTAACTTTGAGGGACCACAGCCTCTTGTAGCTGAATCCCATAGTCTTGGGTTGTGGTGAGTTTCAGGGGCCACATGTTATCTACAAAGCAGTGCACACATAGCACCTGGTCAACAGCATCCCAGGCAACACAGCTTTGCCGCGTTGCTATTCTCATTTTCTACCAGAGCTTGGCAACCTCTTTGCTCTTGAATGACACTGACTGCTGAGTCCATCCTCTCATGCCTACTAGGGAAGCAAAGGGGTAAGAGAGAAGGTGAGAGGACACTGAAGGCAGGGGAGGGGCAGAAAGCATCCAATTCTCCACGTTCTGGAACTAAAGCAGTGCACAAGACACAGCCAATGTCTCTATGGTGTTAACATTCTTATGCGGGGGTCATCAAACTTTCTGAAGGGGCCAGATAGTACATATTTTTAACTTTGCAGGTCATACAGTCTCTGGTAGCAACTACTCAGCTTGGCTCTTTTAGCAGGGAAGAAGCTGTAGAAAATACCTAATGGAAGGGGCGAGGCTGGATTTGGTCCACAGACCATACTGTGCCCACCCCTGTTCTAGTGAGAAAGCAGAGGTTAGAAGACCAGCAAAAGCAGCTCCAGGTGCCTTTCAGGGACCCTGATACCACTTGTTTCCTTTCCTCTGTTTTATAATAGGGACTTCAAGTAACTCCAGTTTAGATGGGACAGCAGATGTTCAAAGATAAGTCCAAGGACAGAGAATGGAGATAATTTTCAAGCTCATAAACTCTCATTTCAGATCTCCAATCTTGACTGATGCCCCAGCGTACAAGATAATCCTTAGTGATAACAACTGACAGCAGCCTAGTTTACAGGAAGGTGTAACTGAGCCTGAGTTTTTACCTGCCTTGTATCTGCCTCACTTCATGCAACAAGACGTCTTAAAGCACAACATCAGTTCCTACCTATAAACTAGTGGTGTTTGAGGGCCCAGCTCCAAACATCCATGTTGGTTTCCTCAGCTGACTCAGAAGCTCTTAGAAACATAATAGCATGGTCAATAGGGTTGATAAATTTTTAAATTTGGGCTTTTGGACAAAGGTGTCAGGGAAGAACCAGGAAGTCCCCATTTTTTTTTAGTCCCCCGCTTTGGAGAGGGCGTCCCTTTTTTGGAGTACCCAGTGGTATTCACCACTATGAAGACATGAGCTTTGAGAGCTACAGAATGCTAAGCAATTATACAACTTTACACTTTTTGTTATTTTAATTGTCACTCTCTGAAATTCTGAACTGATTAGTTTCCTACTTCTGTTACTACTTATGTATTTACTTATTTGAACACTCCCCCTAGAAGTAACTAATTTCCATCTCTGCCACCACTCTCACTCCCATAAGGATCCCACCTCACAGTACTAGGGCTCTGATATACACACTTTCCTCTCCCTGCTCAGGCTCTTACTCTCCACACCAGTCCACCTTTCTGCATGGATGCCCTCCTCACCCCTTCTAGGCTCTTACACCCCACTCAGGGCCATCAAGGCTCCCCCTCAGCACCACGTGGACATCTACCCTGCTCTACCCCAGCTAATGGCCTTATAAATGATTTGCTCAGGAAAGGAAGGAAATAGAAAAGGAATAGGGGGCTTCCCTGGTGGCGCAGTGGTTGAGAGTCCGCCTGCTGATGCAGGGGACGCAGGTTCGTGACCCGGTCCGGGAAGATCCCACATGCCGCAGAGCGGCTGGGCCCGTGAGCCATGGCCGCTGAGCCTGCGCGTCCGGAGCCTGTGCTCCGCAACGGGAGAGGCCACAACAGTGAGAGGCCCGCGTACTGAAAAAGAAGAAAAAAGAAAAGGAATAGGAAGAGTAACCAAAGACTTTTTGAAAGACTTTTGAAAAGCCAAACCTGAAAATTTTAGGAAGAAAACATTAGACACTGTCTTCATCACGTTGGGGTGAGAAAAGTTTTCTTGAACAATAATGTTTGTTGTTAACACTTAACTGAGCACCAAGGGTGTGCCAAGCACTGTTTGACACACTTGACATGTTTAATCATGTAATCCTTACAACTACCTAATAAGCAAGAACTGTGATTATCTCCATTTTACAGATGAACAGAGGCCCAGAGAGATTAACTTCACCTAAATTGAACAGTAGTTGTGGGTCAGGGATTTAAACCCAGAGTCCTGCTCCACTGCCCATACTTTTTTTAAAAATTTTTAATAGATCGTTATTGGAGTATAATTGCTTCACAATACTGTGTTAGTTTCTGTTGTACAACAAAGTGAATCAGCCATATGCATACATATACCCCATATCCCCTCCCTCTTGAGCCTCCCTCCCACCCTCCTTATCCCACCCCTCTAGGTGTTCACAAAGCACTGAGCTGATCTCCCTGTGCTATGCTGCTGCTTCCCACTATCTATTTTACATTCAGTAGTGTATATATGTCGATGCTGCTCTCACTTGGCCCCAGCTTCCCCCCTTCCCCCCCACGTCCTCAAGTCTATTCTCTATGTCTATGTCCACTGCCCATATTCTTAATCACTATTCCATACAACCTCTCAGAAGACACACAACAACTGAGGAACCAAGATGGCGGAGTAGAAGGACGTGCTCTCACTCCCTCTTGTAAGAACACCGGAATCACAACTAGCTGCTGGACAGTCATCGACAGGAAGACACTGGAACTCACCAAAAAAGATACCCCACATCCAAAGACAAAGGAGAAGCCACAATGAGACGGTAGGAGGGGCACAATCACAGTAAAATCAAATCCTGTAACTGCTGGGTGTGTGACTCACAGACTAGAGAACACTTATACCACAGAAGTCCACTCACTGGAGTGAAGGTTCTCAGCCCCACATCAGGCTTCCCAACCTGGGGGTGCAGCGACTGGAGGAGGAATTCCTAGAGAATCAGACTTTGAAGGCTACTGAGATTTGATTGCAGGACTTCCACAGGACTGGGGGAAACAGAGACTCCACTCTTGGAGGGCACACACAAAGTAGTGTATGCATCGGGACCCAGGGGAAGGAGCGGTAACCCCAGGGGAGACTGAACCAGACCTACCTGCTAGTGTTGGAAGGTCTCCTGCAGAGGAAGGGGGTGGCTGTGGCTCACCGTGGGGACAAGGGCACTGGCAGCAGAAGTTCTGGGAAGTACCCCTTGGTGTGAGCCCTCCCAGAGTCTGCCATTAGTCCCACCAAAGAGCCCAGGTAGGGTCCAGTTTTGGGTTGCCTCTGGCCAAACAACCAACAGGGAGGGAACCCAACCCCACCCATCAGCAGTCAAGAGGATTCAAGTTTTACTGAGCTCTGCCCACCATAGCAACAGCCAGCTCTACCCACCACCAGTCCCTCCCGTCAGGAAACTTGCACAAGCCTCTTAGATAGCCTCATCCACCAGAGGGCAGACAGCAGAAGCAAGAAGAACTACAATCCTGCAGCCTGTGGAACAAAAAACACATTCACAGAAAGATAAGATGAAAAGGCAGAGGGCTATGTACCAGATGAAGGAATAAGATAAAACCCCAGAAAAACAACTAAATGAAGTGGAGATAGGCAACCTTCCAGAAAAAGCATTCAGAATAATGATAGTGAAGATGATACAGGACCTCGAAGGAAAATGGTGGCAAAGATCGAGAAGATGCAAGAAATGATTAACAAAGACTTAGAAGAATTAAAGAACAGACAAACAGAGATGAACAAAAAAATAACTGAAATGAAAACTACACTAGAAGGAATAAATAGCAGAATAACTGAGGCAGAAGAACAGATAAGTGACCTGGAAGACAGAATGGTGGAATTCACTGCTGTGGAACAGAATAAAGAAAAAAGAATGAAAAGAAATGAAGACAGCCTAAGAGACATCTGGGACAACATTAAACACAACAACATTCGCATTATAGGGGTCCCAGAAAGATAAGAGAGAGAGAAAACACCTGAGAAAATATTTGAAGAGATTATAGTTGAAAACTTCCCTAACATGGGAAAGGAAATAGCCATCCAAGTCCAGGAAGTGCAGCGAGTCCCATACAGGATAAACCCAAGGAGAAACACTCTGAGACACATAGTAATCAAATTGGGAAAAATTAAAGACAAAGAAAAATTATTGAAAGCAGCAAGGGAAAAATGAAAAATAACATACAAGGGAACTCCCATAAGGTTAACAGCTGATTTCTCAGCAGAAACTCTGCAAGCCAGAAGGGAATGGCATGATATACTTAAAGTGATGAAAGGGAAGAACCTACAACCAAGATTACTCTACCCGGCAAGGATCTCATTCAGATTCGATGGAGAAATCAAGCTTTACAGACAAGCAAAAGCTAAGAGAATTCAGCACCACCAAACCAGCTCTACAACAAATGCTAAAGGAACTTCTCTAAGTGGAAACACAAGAGAAGAAAAGGACCTACAAAAACAAACCCAAAACAATTAAGAAAATGGTCATAGGAACATACATATCGATAATTACCTTAAACGTGAATGGATTAAAT